AGCCCGCCGGGCGGAGGGTTCATCCTCCAAAGCCCCCCTGCCGCCAATTCCTGCCGGCGCAGGCAGCTGCCCACAATGTGCTCTTGTTTCCAGCACTGGGGGAACAAAGGCTGTTGTTGTAGGCTAATGCCGGCTCAGTTGTGGCATGCGCCTACGTGGGCTGTTGGAACCGGGGGGGACACACACGGGGCTGCTGGGGAGGAGTATCAGCCTGCACTGGGTGTACAAGGAGGTTTCCAAGGGCTGTGCAGGTCGTTGATGCTGGAGGTTTCTCTGCTCTGGGGAGGTATGGTTTTCTGCTTGGCAGCAGTGGGGTGTCCATCCCTGCTGGTGGCATTTGTGGAGGGTGGAGGGGTGCCTGGGTCAGAGTGGGTGGTGTGGCTTAGCCTGGGAACATGAGGGAGCCGCAGAGCGTGATGCTCAGCTGAGGAACACCAGGTGCCATCCACTAATGCATGGGTGGTGTCTGGGGACCGGCATCTGTGGTGGAAACGGGTGGACATGGCTGATGCAAAATCACTGCCCATGTGGTCAAAGAGCAGTAGGAGCCAAATCTACATTTTAGAGCTAGGAAAGAGGTTCTGGTCTCTCCTTACCTTTGAATATTTTGGTTAAGAGAAGAGATGTGGCCATTTCTAGCTTAACTGCTGCTGCAGATGTGCCTTGGTGTGAAGCCAAATCTAGTATGAAGCAGGAGTGATCGCTTGATGGTGAAGCACCCCCACCTGAGAGCCTGATCCTTGGCCTCTGTAAGCAGTGAGGGGAAGGTGGTGTTTTGCGGGGAGGAGCTCTCAGCAAAGGAGGAGGTTTTATTTTTCATCTGCTAAATCTGTTCTGCCTTCGGGGAACAGGAGTGGAGAGGATCCTAATACTGTGCTTTCCACCACCAGACCTTGCGTGGCCATACAAAGTCTTTACATCCTTTCCTTTTTAACTTCATGTTATTAGAGTTTAGTGAGAAGGAGCACCCATCTTGTGCATGCTGTAGCTTTTGGTAGGAGAAAAGGACAAATCTGGGCGCAGGAAGCACCCAGGATTTTCTGTATTTCTAATAGCAACTGCTGCACCTCCCACTGTGCCATCCCATGCTGGGTGACCTCCGGCCACATCTGACTTGGACAGCTCTTTCCCAAAAATGTTTACTTGCTTTCTAATCCCTGCGGTTTAGTAAACAGAATGAGAGTGGGCTGGGATCGCTGCCTGTCCTCCCCTTGCTTCCCATCTCCCCCTGGCACGGGACGGGGATGTGGGGGTGCCAGGCTGCCCATGGGGCTTCAGAGTCTGCTGGCAGGTACTGCTGCTATGCTCTGTTTTCCCTTGTATCAGAGAAATTAAAATCATCTGCTCAAGTCTCTGGGCAGCCAGCATGCACCTCTTCTCTCTGGAGAAAGTGGGGATGCTCCAGTCTGTCCCTCAGGCAGCAGCAGGGCAAGGATGCCAGAAAGCGGCTCCTCCTGCCCGGGACAGACAGCATCAGGGAGAGGCAGGGTTCAAAGCAGATTAAAAACCAGATGGAAATGGCTCTCGGATCTGCCTGCTGCCAGCTGACAGCCTTCCGCTACTTCCACAGAGGTTTTAAAGGCTTGGAAGTCTCAGTCTGTCCCTTTTTTTTAATTATTATTATTGTTATTATTATTTTTATTTTCTCCCCTTACAACCAGTGCAGCGATGAGGACAGCCCTGCAGACATCAGGCCTCAGGCAGCCCCAGCCTCTTGCTCCTTCCCCGCGGGGGCTCGGGTTTCCCCTTCTCGCTCCCGTGACGCTGCCTGTCCCGACAGGTGCCAGCGGAGCTTTTTTTTTTCGGGGTCACGGCCGGCTTCGCGGTGGGCTGAGCGGCCAGAGTGGAGCTGGGCGGCAGGTGGACATGGCACCTCGCTAAGCCCTAGACCCGTGCCCAGCCGCCGTGTCCCCACACCCCGACCATGGACCCGGCGCCAGAGATGAAGAGGTGGGTGGATTTTGGGAGAGGGGTCCGAGGGTGCGTGTTTCCCCACCGCTGGCAGAGGCAGCCCCTTCTGTCCCTGCGTAAAACAGGAGGCTGCAGGAGGGGCTTTGTGGGAATGAGCCGATGCTTTCCTCTGTGTAAAGGGCAGTTTCTTTCTGAAAGCATTTGGTCACTATTACCAGGTCTGCAGCAAAATGGAAAGGAAGGCAGCCCCGTGCCACAGTGCTGAGAGTGAGGATGAGGGGCTGCAAAAAACAGAATTTTCGTGCCTGGGATGTACAAACATGGATGAAAACCAGCAGATGTGTCTGTGTCCTGGAAGGGCTGGGGGCTAAGCTAGCCTTCGCAAGGAGACCTTTAGTCCCTCAGCAGCCTAAGTTTAGGTGTAATGAAGTCATGAAGACATTCTCACAATTTGCGTTGCTAGAAACATCTTGAATTTAATGACTTTTTTGACTTAAAGGTGCTCTATCACTTAAAGCGATGACTGTGAGTTCCTGCAGTCCGTAACACAGCCTGCTCAGTTCATGGAGGGGAAGAGGTTTAACCTTGCTAACGGTAAGCTCCGACTTAGCCAGCAGGCTTGGCAGGACCAGCTGCCCACCAGCATCCTGCTCCCTGGCACTCACGGCTGTTGGGTATTGGGGTCCTGGCGTGGGCAGCACCAGCCCAAAGGATGGCACTTAATGTTGAGATATGGACCAGACCTTAAGTCAGATTTTAGAGGACATCTATTTGTTCCTAGCAATAATTAGGCTGTTTCACTTACCCAGCAACAAGTGTTAATCTTAGAAACCCTGCCTGGGGAGAAATAGCAAAAGTCTTGGTGGAAGAGTTATCTTGGCATCATCCATCCTGGTGAATACTTGTGCTGCAGTCTATCCAGGTCACCTGGCAGGTTTCCTGGCATAGCTGGAAACGTTTGACCGGTCAGAAATGGACTTCATGTCCCGGGAGCCTGAGACTTGCTCCTCTCTGCTCAGGGGAAGCCATGTTAGTCCTTGGTATTTTATTGAGAGATTTATTCTGAAAACCATCCTGTTCAGTTCAGCTAGCTGAAAGGACAAAACAACCCTCTGTTTTGACAGGCAGAGATGGAAGAGGTCAGAGGGTTGAGTGGAAATTGGAGGGACTGGCCTTCAGCCAAGCTGGGGCTTATGGAGGTGGGCTGAGTTCAGGCTTCTTTCTGCTGAATTTCTGTGAGGTTTTCTTCTGGGGAGAGATGAGGTCAAGGTGGTGAAACCAAGGCCTTTGACATACCTCATGGGAGGCAGGTATGTGACTTTGGCAGTGAACCCAAACGAAATCAACTGGTCTGGCAGGACTCTGGCAGCACCCCAGCACTCAGACCTCTGGGACATCTTAGTATTTTCCTGACTTCATCAGCCAAAGCAGCATGTTACTCTCACACATGGACATCTTGCTACCTGCTAGCACAATCAAGTCATTTGTAACTCCAAGCTCCACTACAGGACTCCCTTCCTTTTTCTCCACTTCCTGGCTTTTTTCTGTTGTTCATGTGACAGTTTTTTCTGGCAGAGGGGACTGGGGGAGCTTACTGCTATTGCAGACTGCTTGTTGTGAAGCATTTTAACCTTTTAGTACTGAAGTGTGGTTACTCAGAATATGACTACCCCCCCCTGCATAAAGAGCCTCACCTTAATGCTTTCTTTGCAGAAATGAGGTCCTTGCTCTGATTTAATTTAATCTCTTCTTTTTGCTAGTGGCACCTCATCCCTATATTATAGATGGGGCAGGTTGTCAAACAAAAATGAAGGTGAGAGTTCATTGCTGGAAATCTTCACAAAAAAACCCTAAAATATGTGACTGAATGAAAACATTTATCATCAAGTGACCTTATTAACTTCTGCCCTTTTAGTCCTCTACCTGGTTCAATTTACAAATATAATATTGCAGTCAGGAAAATCTTAACTTCAAAAAAACCCAACAAAAACCCAAAGAAAACAAAGCAAAAAAGTCCCTGGAACACTGGGCCAAGTTGATCTTTTAGCATTTCAGCTGCTGAAGCTCACTAGTAGTGGCTTTTCCCTAATTTCACTGCTATTTCTTCAATTCTATTCATGATTAAAACTTTCACAGAATGTGCAATAGCTGTTAATCTACTACCTTCCAGTGTATTGACTGGTCAGTGATTCTTCAGAGGTAGGACAAGCTTCCACAGCACATCTCAGACAAGCACTAGTGCAGGTGGCCAGTCTGTTGCTGATACTGACAGGCGATCAGCTAACCAAGAAGTTCTGACTTTCCTTATCCTAGTAAAAGAGAACAAATAACATTGATTATCAGATGAGGAAAATCTGTCCTGGAGCATCCTCCTTTTGTTCTGCATTTTCAAGGCAGCTTCAAAGAAGGGTACAGGTTCTCTGAATAACTGAAGTGCTATACTTTCCTTACAGGAATAGGTTCCCCAGCATGAACTTTGAAGCAGAGATTCTGACAGCTCCACACGATAACTCAGGTATTTGGGAGAACAAAAAAAAAATTAAAAAAAAATATTAAAGTACAATGCCCACTGAGCTTGCCATCACTACAAAAATGTTTTAAGTTTTTAGTAATTAGAGACTGGTTAAATAAAGAAGAAAAAAAGAAACAGGATGCTCAACTGACTGCAATTCTGCCGATTTCAGGATTGCGTTAGGTTTAAAGCACTGGGGATAGTTCTTTAACTCCAGTAGGATTGGACATAGGGTCTCCATACATACCTATCCGAAACAGAGCTGCCAATGATGTGTGGTTTTCAAGAGTATCAACATTCAGTTTAAGATTGCACAGTCCTGTATAAGACATACGCAACTTTTGTACTAGTGGCAGCTACAAGCAGATGAATAACTAAACAGCTTCTCAAAAGGCAAAAACATTAACGAAGGTGTTCTGCTGAGTCCTGTCCTTCATCCTCATTTCATTTAGGAGGAAAAGCTGATTTTTTTCCTATTGAATGCTACTTTTACAATGCTGATGTCACACACTGGGACTGACACTACGGCTGCCCTCCTGCAGCCTTCTGTCTGAGATAGACCTGCCCCACGGCCAGCACTGAGCTGTGTGGCATCTTCTCCTGAGCCTCGAGCCTTACTCTTATGGTTGCTCCTCACACCCAAGCCGTTGGCCAGAGCTTGTGCCCTGGCAGCAGCCCTGTCATTAGGATGAGACAGTGGAAGTTAAATTTTCACAATAATTCCTTGCAATCCCTTGATTAGTCTTGAGTGTTAGTTCAGTGCTAGAAATCCTGGTCTCAGAGTCCCACATTTGAGCATGAGCCCGTTCAGTGAAATGCTCTTGCTGCCAGTTGCTCTCCTGGCCATGAGCAGCAGGTCCCAGTGGAGAATCCACCTCTCCAGCAATGTATTGCATGGCAACAAGAATTGGAAATAAGGTGCAAGGTGTGGACTATTTTTGTTTCAGTTGCAGGTGGCAGTTTTTGAGTTGCATCACCCCCCCATAGCAAGTGTGCCAGCAGCTGGTGAGTTCAGTCACAGCGTACAGTGACTGCACGGGTGATGGCCCCTCTAGTTTGGGACCTACTCTGCAATTCCCTCCACCTTCTTGCCTCGACTCTTCCAGAAAAACACCTCAGTTACCACCTGTTCTGCAAACCAAGTACCCCGTATCTGGCTAAGCATTTTTTTTTTTTCTGACCTGTACTAATGAGGCACTTAAGAAATATGCTGATGCAAAAGGGTATCTAAGAGTAATTTGCAGATTCTGAGTGTGAAGAGGTTGGAAAGCCCTCACATGAGCCCACCTGCATGGCTGACTCTTGGGCCATGCATCCTCCACACCCTCTTCCCAAATCTCTGGCTTCTGTTGGGTTGGGTTTCTTTCACAAGGTAAGTGCTTTGAGCCTCCACTTACCTTGAAAGCACTGACACATAATTCATGTTTGTTTCTCAAGAGGTGTATGTGATCCCCTCCATGAGAAGTCTCACGGCTGAGGAGTACGTAGAGGCCTTTAAGTCATTTTTGGATCATTCAACAGAGCACCAGTGCATGGATGAGTTCAACAAAGAAAAAATGCCCAACATCATGGCTGGGTAAGGAGCGCTTCCACTGGAGTGGGAAAGCCATTTGTTATCCTGGGAAGGAAACATGCCTACAAGGGTCAGCAAACATGTTTAAGGATTTTCTGGGGTAGGAATAAACTTTTAATGCCCTTCAGTTTTAAGTCCCCTTCAGAATACTTGCTATTTCAATTAATACACTGTGCCGCCTCTGAGCTTATGTTAAGGAAGGAATCGAGACCTCATTTTCATATCCATCTCTTTTCATTAGCTGATTTTCCAAGGATTAAGTTTTTTTTGTTGTTTTGTTTTGGGTTTTTTTAAAAGAAAGCTCTCTTGTGCTCTCTCCCTGCTTGTGGGACTTCATCACACATCAGCCCAAATAGAAACACTCAGTCTAAACAGAAATACATCTCTAATTCTCTTCCACTGACTAATTCCTGGTTTCCTCAATCCCCTAAGACCTCCTTATTTCTATCCTAAGTCGATTTACATCGCTTAAGTACCAAATGATAATCAGTTTTGTGAAGTATTCATATAATACATTAAGCCTGGATGACTGTAGATAGTTTTAGAACAGCCTGGATGCAAACCACAAGAAAGCCCTTTCAAGTTTGGATAATTTTGGATGTTATCAAAACTGTATTCTCCATTGAGATAAAAGTTTAGGCAGGCAAATCTTTATTCCCCAGATCAGGCATATAAAAAAAATAAGCCAAAAAAAATTGCGCTGGGAAATTTTAATTAAAAAAATTACTTATGTGAATTTTAAGTGGTATAAAGCATTGTAGCTTCTTATGATGCTGATTACTGGCCTGTCAAAGGGTCTTGACCTTCATTCAGGCTAAGGCTTCCTGACTGACGCACACCCTCCAGAATTTACTACTTGTTCCCCTCTTATTTAATCATCGCTGTGGTATCTCCTGAGATTGTGTATGGGAAACTCAGTTTCCCTGCCCAGCCCATGCTTGAGAGCAGAATAAGGTCATAAAGCACATCAGAGCAGTGTGATGTTGAGCCTGAGTTCCTCATCCTTGATTCAGGCTGTTACTAAATATTCTGCAAGGAGTCACAACTGGATGATTTTTTTTCTTTTCAAAAGTCATTTTTCTAAGATAAAAATGAGAAGATTCTGACATTCCTTCCCAATTTCAAACCAAGATAAAAGTTGAAAAGAGAGGATTTCCAGTTCCCTGGATAACTTCCCCCCCCCCCCCCACCGCTTTATTTAAACACGTTAAGAAAACACA